AACATAAGTTTAGCTGCTATGTTAGCCTCATCAAAATAAGTTTAGCTGCTACGTTAGCCTCATTAACATAAGTTTAGCTGTTATGTTAGCCTCATCAACATAAGTTTAGCTGCTACGTTAGCCTAATCAACACAAGTTTAGCTGCTACATTAGCCTGAGCAAGTTTATTCTATTTGTGACATTAGCCTAAATAACATGAGTTTAGCAGCTGAACAAGACAGTGCTATCCACTGTGTTAGTTGAATCAAAATAAGTTCAGCTGTTACAAAGGCCTAAAAAAAAAACATGGCTCTCACCACTACATTAGCTTAAATGAATAACTATGTTAGTCTAAATGACAAGTTTAGCATTAACTATAAAAGGTAGCAATATCTGCTAAGCTACCTATGCTCCGTTATTTCAGTAAAGGAAAATATAATTAAAAATGACTCCTGACAGGAGGAAGACACAGACACAGAAAATTTCAGTGGATGGAAATAGACAACAGAATACCTAAAAATACAGCAATGGGCACGCTACTCAGAAAGATTAGTGTGCTAAGCTAACAGCTACTTGACATTTAATTAAGCTTCACTCCACTGAAATGTAGCAAGCTGAGCTAGCTTAGCAAATGTAGTCTACTACATATGAAGCTACCTCAGTTTAATTTTGTTTATTTGCTTTCAACAGACAGTGAGAAACATGTAGCTAGCTAATGGTTAGCATAGCTGCTAGCTGGTGTTTGCAGACGCAGACGTGCGGTGGTGACGAAATGAGCTGACGCTTAGTTTTATTAAACTGAAAGCTTGGCTGTGCTTGTTGTCTGAGAGATGCTAAAAAAGAATGTTTGTTGTACTAGCGCCGCGCTAAAGAGAGAAGAAGCTAAACTGGTAGCTAGACGTAGCGACGCTGCTGCTGCTGAAGGACTGTGGAGAAACTCAAACGGATCAGATAAGTCCAGATCAGAGTTTAGACAAAGATGGACGACAACATTGGTGCCGTCTGTCAGCAGCCAGCAGGGGGCGACTCCAGCCGCCACCATCAGGTCTGATCGTACAGAAGTTTGAGAAAATGATGCTGGTCCTGGTTTGAATGTGACCTCAGTGGATCCGTTCCTGATGGGTTTATGGCCCACGGTCTGGAGCTCCGACCGGTTCGTCCTGTAGCTTTATGGCGTCGTTTCCAATAACGGGGACAATAATTAATGACACGAACATCGTGTTGTGTTGACGCAGGTTTTACACTCAGACCATAAATTCATCAGGAGCATATTACTGAGATAACGAACCAGGTGAGAAGCACATCGTTACCGAACCAATCAGGGAGTCTCGTCATTCTTTTCTTTAGCGTTTTCCTGGTTTGGTTTGTTTTTCCTGTCATTTTGGAATATTTTTGTTTTGTCTTGTAAAAGTTTTATTTTTTAATAGCTCATAATAAAAACGGGTTTTCTTTTTGTCTGTTTTTTTCCGTGTGTGTTTAGTTGTGACTTTATTTTCTTGTAAATCTTGAACTAGCCGAGTGTCTGTTAAAAAGTTAACGAGAGTTTTATGGATTCATTCACAAGCAGCAGATCAACACTGTGAACAAGCTGGCGCTGCCGTGAAGTTGTTCTGACCCACAAACACGCTGACAAACAGCAGAAGTGACTCATGTGACAGATCAGAGTGTTTATTGTTCTCAGGTGTGAGCTGCAGCTGGACTTCCTCCTCCAGCAGGTCACTGATAACCCACCGAGGCTGGTGTGCTGCTGGCCTCTGATCCGTTACTGATTAACGATCCTTCGTTAATCAGGTCAGT